GAGCCTCTGGGGACTTCCCGAGAACCTCTCGGGGTAGAAAGCTCGGATTCTCGGTTCGTATTTCCCTTCTTGGGCCTCTCTTGGGGCCGTCTTGGGGCCCTCTCGGGCCGTCTTGGGCGCCTCAGGCACCGCCTTGGGGCCCTCGTGGGCCGCCCAGGGCACTCTTGGAAGCCTCTTCGGCCATCTTGGAGCTGTCTGGGAGGCATCTTTCTCCTCCTCGTCCCCCTCCTCCTCCTCCCACTCCAGCTCTCTCTCCTCCTGATCTTCCTCCACCTCCTGCAGCGTGCTCCGGAAGGCTCCCGCCGGAACATGCTATGCACAAGTGCTGTCACTGCTCCCGCCACCGTGCCCTGGGTGGTGGGTCAGAGGCCTCATGGGTGTTGGTTTGGATCTCGTGGTTGGCCTGTCGGGGACGTCGTGAAGGCAGATTCGCAGCTTCTCGGTAGCCGTTTTGGGACCGTTGTGGGGCCTCCTCGGGGCTGTTTTGTGGCCTCTTTAGGCCTCGTTTGGGCCTCCTGGGTGCCTTTTGGGGGCCTCTTGGGGGCTCCTTGGGGCCTCCTGGGGCACTCTTCAAGCGGGAGGGTCGAATTTTGGAGTCGTGGTCCCCCTCTTGGGCGCATCTTGGGGCCGTCTTGGGGCTCTGTTGGGCTGTCTTGGGCGACTCTGGGGCCGTCTTGGGGCCCTCTTGGGCCGTCTTGGGGCGCTCTTGGGGGCCTATTGAGCCGTCTTGGAACGTCGGACAGCCGAAAAGACTGGAAGGGCAAATTTGTTCGAAAACCCTCGTAAAATTGACGATTTCGGCCTCTTGAAGCGCTCTGGAGAGGCGTCTTGAATCGTCGTGGAGTGCCTTGGGCGGCCTCTCGGGCCGTCTTGGGCCTACCTTGGGGGTCCTGGAGCGGTCTTTCGGCGACTCGGGGCCCGCTTGGGCCGTCTTGGGAGCCTCTGGAGGCCCTCCTGGACTATTTTGGACCTCCCCGGCCGCCCCGTCCTCCCATTTCGGAGGCGGCGGCCTCCGAGGCCCAGGACGCGGAAACCCTTTAAAAACAAAAGGAAAATGAACCCCGATACCCCCATGAACACTCTTCGGCGCTCTTGAACCGTTGAAAATTCGAAAACGCGAAAAGCCAAAAACATTGAAAAAACCATTAAACATATACGACTTTGGCCTCTTCGGGCCGCACCATGATACCTATCAGACTTCTTGGGGTCTCTTGGAGGCCACCTGGGAGCCTCGAGAGCCGTCGGAAGGCTGACTTGGGCTGCTCGGGAGTGTCTTGGGCCATCCTTTCGCATTCTGGGGGCTCCTGGGGGGCGTCTTGGGCCCTCCCTCCTGGAGCGCTGTGGAGGCTGCCCGGGAAGGCTGGGGCAGCGGTGCCGGGAGCGTCCCCGAGATGTGGCCATATCTTTTCAGAGCGTTCCGAGAGCATCTTCCCGGAACGCGCTCGTGGCAGGGCGCCCACGTCCGAGGACGTTGGCATGGGAAACCGCAGCGCGTGATCATTCCAGCGCGTTCTGGCGAAGACCGTCCGGAACGCGCTTGGGCAAGCGCTGGGTTTGGGGAAGGCAAGTGGGAACCGTTCAGGCAGTTTGGGATGCTCGGGGCAAGAGGCGGAAGCCATCCTCAAAAGACATGCAGTCTTCCTGGAGCCGTTTTGCAGAAAACACACGAACAATGAGACCCTGGAGTCGTTCCTTCTTGGAGCCCTCTTGGGCTGCCCTGGAGCCTGTTGGAGCCCTCTGCGAAATGGTCTTGGAGCCCGCGCCGAGGATCTGGAAAATGTCCGGGACCATCGCGGCGGCCTCCGAGGCCCGGGACGCCGAACCCCCGTAAAAACACAGCGAAAATGAGCTCCGGTACTCCCATGGAGGGTCGGGCAGCTGTTTTCGGGCCCCTGGGCTAGAACCATCGCGCGTGCTTCGCGCGCGCTCAGGTTCTAGCCCAGGCTGGGGGGGTGCTGGACGATCTTGGACAACGCTATCAAGCACAGGCGCCGACTTGAGGCCACCTGCGGCCAGATTGAGAAGCCTCCTGGGGGCCTCCTGGAAGCAGTTTTGACGCATCGAGGGCACTCTTGGGCTATTTTAAAACCTCTTGGACGTCTCCTAGGGGCCTTTTAGGCCCTCGGGAAACTTTTGGGGTCCTCGTCGGACCACTTGGGGGCCTCTTGCAGCCTCATGTGGGCCTTGTAGGGGGACCGCTCTGCTGTTGGGTCGCGTTCCCCTTCTTGGGCCTCTCGTGGGGCTCCTGGGGCCCTCTCGGGCCGTCTTCGGCGCCTCAAGCACCGTCTTGGGGCCCTCGCGGGCCGTCTTGGGGCCCTCTTGGAGGCCTCTTCCTCTATATGGGAGCGGTATTGGAAGCCTCGTGGGCCGTCTTGGAGCATCGGGATGCCAAAAGGCAGGAAAACTTAAAACCCGTCAAAGCCCAATCGTAAAACAATGAGCTGTGCCTCTTGGGGCCACCTTGGGAGATCTCTTGGAACCTCGTCGGCCCTCTTGGGAG